ACATGAAACTCACATTTCCTAGCTTAAAAATATTAAGTATCTTGAACAAATGAGTTCAACATTTCTTTTTTAGTGACAAGATGCTCTCTCTTTTCCTCTATACTCTGTGGCTCAGTAGACATGCATTTCATAACCCAACTGGAGAACCACCAAACTTTATCTAATATTCAAGTTTTAAACAAAATAGTGGCAAATTTTTTGGAATTAAAAAAAAAAAATCAGGCTGGCGCTGCGGCTCACTTGGCTAATCCTCTACCTGTGGCACCAGCACCCCGGGTTCTAGTCCCGGTCGGAGCGCTGGATTCTGTCCCGGTTGCTCCTCTTCTAGTCCAGCTCTCTGCTGTGGCCCAGGAAGGCAGTGGAGGATGGCCCAGGTCCTTGGGCCCTGCACCCACATGGGAGACCAGGAGGAAGCACCTGCCTCCTGGCTTTGGATCGGCGCAGCGCGCCAGTTGTAGCGGCCATTTGGGGGGTTGAACCAACAGAAAAAAGAAGACCTTTCTCTCTGTCTCTCTCTTTCTCACTGTCTAACTCTGCCTGTGGGAAAAAAAAAAAAAATCACCCTAAGCACCCAGATATATCAGTGATTACTGGTAAAAGAAAACTTATTCGATTTGAACCTGGAAAGTGTTCAATACAATGAAGAAAACATAAGAATCATGTTACACATTAGAGAACCATTTTAATTAACAATGACAGCCATACTGTCTTGGGGAAATGCACTTGGCAAAAATCCTCCCCTCCCCGAAAATAAAGATGTGGCCAAAATTACAGGCCCCCAGAGGTTATTATATTTAAAGCCATGGCAAGGCATCTTTTTGAAAAAAGATTAGATAGAATTTTCTCTCTTAAGTACTGTAAAAATTGCCAAACTGAAACAAAGGGGACTAGGAAAAAAAAGATGTTGGACTAATAACTGGGTTGAATTACTTGATATTAAGAATAGTAGAATACCTAGTTCCAAGGAAGATATTAGCTTTTTTAAATTATACAATATTTTGAACATGGCAGTTCATTTTGCTTTAACATCTCATGATCCTAAGCTGACTATAGTTGTTACTGAAGAACTCTTAGGCCAAAGTTGGCCAGTGCCATGGTATTTGGGGATGACATTGGCTCAACACTGACATTTGGAAGGACACTGTTCTGTTTTCCAAGGGGATTTTATAGATGTGAAACTGATGGGCGTGCTGGGTGAGAGCCACACAGAAGGCCCTGCAGCCCATGTGGAAAGCCGACAAATTAATGAGGATGAGGTGCGCTTCCCAGTTAGGAGGGATCCCGGTGGCTAGGGCTAGGGCTGAGCTGGACTTTCTGTAGGGCCACTGTGAGTAACATGAGCTTGTGTAAGTTTATCTTTCTTGCCCCAAGTAGCAGTAAAGGTCTTCTCGCAGCTTTCTGGCTAACCCTGCTTTTTGCGTTAACTCCCCAAACTCATGAGCTCCCTGCATGGTGGGTTCAAGCACGTGATGGCAGCTACCTTCTGTGGACGCTGTATGGGAGATCTGTGCATGAAATGGCTGATGACACAAAACGAATTCTGAGGTCTCCTCCAACTTTGTGATTCTACGATTTCAAGATGGTTTACGAGTATTTGACTTGCGGAAGGGTCAATGAGAGAAGAGCTCAAGGATCTCTGAATTTCATGCTTTCTCAGGTATCAGGGATCAGTCACTCTTAAAATGTTACTGAACATCAGTTAAGGTTGGTACCATTAAATTTTAGGAATGAGAAATGGGAGTGAATAATTTTGTTGTCTTTATAAATCTTGGGCTACACACACACAGAAAAGCAACTATGCTAGGTCGCTGTGCCTTGGTAGTTCCATATTGGCTAGAAAGTATTTCCATACAAACCCAGGTCAGGCTGGCTCTTAGCTTTCTAGGCCTGGAAACTGGTCCAGCTCCTTTCCTGTGGCAACTGAGTGAAGTGTTTATATTCTGATCACTCTCCTGCCAATGTTTTGAAAAGAACTTTCCATAAACAGTCCACAAAACAGAACAAATCGTTAGTACACAGTTACAGAGCAGTTCCTCGTTCCCCTGCTCTACAGAAGGCAGAAGCATGCTTCTTAAAGCCTACTATTGCTGGCAGATGTTCCCAAAGAGAAAAACTCCTATCAGGTTGTAGGTAGCTTTACCTTGGAAGTGATACCCTCTATTGGAGAAATAGCTCTTTCTGAATTAGAAACACTCATATCCTCTCTTTAAGGCCAGGGTCCATCTCTCTTAAAACATCTGTGTTCTCAACAACCATGCTCTGTCCCCACAGGAATGAAGAACTATGGAGGAAAACCTCTAATCAGCACTCACGTCGAGGGTGCCCCAGGAAATTAGTACATAAAAGCCCTTAGTAGTGCAGTCTGGCTCTACTTCAAATAAACTGGATTTATTTATAAATGAAAAAAGAAACCCACCCAAATTTCTTGTATTTTCTCTTCTTGGTTATCACTAAATCTTACAGCTTCCTTGAGTTCAGCTCAGGAAAGGGAATGTACTAGTTTCTCCCAAGGGGGAAAAAATAATCTCGGGGAAAAAAAATCCAGAAAAGATTGATTTCTTCAGTGAGAAATTATGACAGAACAGAAAATGAGCTGCCCATGAAGGATGCAAGGACCAAGTCAGCACGAGTCTAGCTAATCCAGAGGGAGGCAAATGTGAGCAGAAGCTGTGCTTTCAACCTCAGGCTGTCCCTGGATCTCTGCTGGTCTTCTGGGATCCACCACCTGCACGACCCCTCAGCTCAGTTGGCTGCGTGGGTGTGTTACCGTGAGAAGACACCTGGACATCACAGTGAAGTTCAAAGTGATGGGAAGAGAAAACATCAAATATACCACAAATAACAAGTGGCCTTCATGCCTCCCTAAAAGGCAGGACAGGGTCAATCTTTGGGCAGAATCACTGTGTTGACTTCAAGGATGGATAATAACAGTGTTCTTCTTAATTCTATTTATCTTGCTTTAACTTTCATTTTATATATACATATCTATGTGTAATTTATTTTCTAGTATGAGAGGGTAAGATGCCCACAAAGCACTTTAGGAAGGGCCAATCTATACTAATAAATAAATGTGTAATTTAGAAGTATTAAGACATAAGTATTCAAAATACATAAAGGCAAGCAGCCCATTCCAGAGTTTACAATTATACAGAAAATGTATTCTACCTTCAGCACATACATATCTTACCTTGCTGGGAGTACAGTGAAATATCAGTGATGTAGTTTGAACACTAGTATCATATGAGAAAGTGGAATCTCCTTAATATTAGATGTATGATGGTTTGATATATTCCCAAGTGTTATTGAATTATCTCTGACAGAACTCATAACTCCTGATGTCATGGTAGAAGCCAGTGGGAAATGGGATTAATTTTGAAGCAATGCTGTTAAAGTTTTAAATTAAATATCTCACACATGAAAAATAGCATGGCAAATATAAAACAAACACCCAGGTATCCACCATCTAGCTTTGTCAAATATTAACATTTTTGTATTAGTTGTTTTAGATTTCTCTAAAGAAACAGAACTGGATCTACATTTTGCAATCCCAAATTCTCGCTCTACTCCCCATGCAGGTAACTACTATCCTCTATCTATTTTTATCATGCTAATTATAATTTTTTTACTGCATGTTCCTATATCTAATAATAATTTACAGTTGCAATCTGCACGTTTAAAACCTTTGCCTACAAACAGTATCACAGTGCAGTTATCATTCTGCAAGTGTTTCTCAAGATTCCTCTTTGCTGCTGCACATAGCTCTAATGTGGTTAGTTTAACCCTTGAATGTGGTTTCCTTCTGTGAGAATACTGTGATTCATTTTACCACTCCCCAGCCAAAGAATACTTAGTACTTTCCCTGAACTCTCTATTTTGAACAACTGCCATGAGTTCATCTGGCCACAGAATCCGTCCTTACCCTCAGCCTCAAGTATTCTCCACTTCAGCACTGCAGTGTGCAGTCCAACAGGATGAGGCGAGGCGCACTCCTCCCAGCCCCTCCCTTCCGGTATCTGCCCATCACAGACAGACCACGCGATGTTGGTGTAATGGCTCCTGCTTCTCCGCTCCATTCCTTCTTTCCATCTTTCCAGCTCAGCAGTTATGATCACTGGGCTGCTAACTCCATCACAGGCCTCCCAGACACCAGGCTGACCTGTCCTCTGCCTGCTACATGCTGGAAGAATGCACTGAAAAGCCCAAGCTGGCCATGCCAAGCCCCAGGATACTTGCTGCATGTGGAAAACCACTGAGTTCCTAATAAAAGTTCTCTAAACTGGGTCTGTATCTCTCTGGCCTTGTTTTCTCCTCTAGTAAATTTATGACCCAGAAGTTCCCTCCTGCTGGCCCTGCTCTGCTTGTGACTGGAAACATCTCCCTTCTTCACCCAGCTACTTCCTGATCCTTTAGGTCAACCTTGGCTTTTATCAGCCAGGCAGCCTCCAGGCTCCTGATGCTACCTCTCCTGAGTCATGGCACTGGCCACATTTCCCGGTGGTCACAGAACCACATGTGTTGCTCCCCAGTCTGAGTGCTATCTGATGGCAGGGCTGGCTTTTATTCATGTTTACATCCCTTGGATCTTACAAAGAGACTGGGAATTTGAACAGGTACTCAGACCTGGGCTGAACCAAATGGACACTGGAAATCCATTAAGTATATTTTATTTTGCAATAAAGGAGACTCAGTCTATTTAAAACCAGTAGATTTCCTATGGAATGCATAATAGAGAATGACATATTCAGCCCTCCGTGAACAAGACATCTGCCAGCCAATACTTGTGCATTAACATGCACTATGACTAATCCTAACAGAGATGACCCTAAAGCACTGCAATTGCCTTCTGACTTGTTTGATTAAATTACACTCGGTCTTCACAGTAATATCTCTCTCCATCTATTACTGAAACCCTCCAAATGCTTCTCAATGCCACCACATAAGAGGACAGTCTAGACTGCTTATAGCATTTCCTCAAGGACAAGATCACATTCTCTACCTACCTGTAACAAGCTCCCTTATTTCGGCATCAATAGATTTTCTCAACAGTCTCAACAAGGCAGGTATCCCACCAACATTCTTCATTGCTATTTTATTTTCATCTGTGGACTTGCCAAAAACAAGGTTTCGGAGGGCACCGCAAGCATTCTTCTGAACTTCTAAAACTCTGTGGTCCAAAAGGTCAACCAGATGCTTGATTCCCCCTAGCCTACACACCTGAAATGGAAAAAACTAGGTATCAGCTCTAAGTGGCATGTGATTAAGTAGTGATCAAACAACAATCTGTGATGGAGCGTTCAATCTGGGTGGGACACGGATAACTCCAGATCATTTCAAAGGATTACTTTTTTAGGTGTAGGTGTTCAAGCCTAGTGGTTAAGATGCCTGGGTCCCACAAGGCAGTACCTAGCTGCAATTCGTGGCACTGCCTCTGGACTCTGGCTTCCTGCTATGTAGACCCTGGGAGGCAGTGATAATGGTTCAAGGCATTGGATTCCTGATGCTCACATGGGAAACCTGGACTGCAGCTCTAGCTCCTGGCTCTGGCCCTGGCTCAGTCCCAGCCCCAGCTGCTGTAGGTGTTCAGGGAGGGAACTAGCAGATGGGAGCTGTCTGTATCTCTAATACAGAAAACAAACAAACAACTAAAAAAAAATTTAAAAATGGTTGCTTTCTGTTCTAAGGAACACACATTTTAGAAATTCTAAGGACACTCTTTAAGAGGATTCTGTTTTCCTGGGTTCATGGCTTAAGAAAAGATGGGAGATTGAGGATTAATTTCCACATGCAGGCAGCACAGCCCTCTGGCCCTCTGACCACACACAGGGAACTGAGGTTCACCCAGGAGTGCAATGAGCAAGTGCACAAATGCAACAAAGCTGCTTGTAGGGTCAGAAACATCACAGGAAGTTAGTTTTGACTGAAGTTATTGAGTTTCCAGAATTGGTCTTTTAGGCTAATCCCCCCAAATATTCTTTCATGCATCAATCCATTAGTACAGTATTTGAATATTTCTGGGGTTTATTTACTACATCCTCCATATGGTCTATAGCTGGTATGCTATTTTGCATATTAAAGTGATGAAAAGAGCTTTAGTTCTGTATGACATTCCAGCGGGGAAAAAGGCCTAAAACATTAAAAGAAAGAATGTAAGTAATAGACATGAGCCAATAACTAATAATTTGCTATATTTCTGTAAACACCAAAAACCTTTAAAATCTGAAATAAAATATTCAAGTATGTTCAGCATTAGTAACGGTTATAAATCCTCTGTAACTTCACTTAATTGTAGTTGGCATCAGTTTTGACTAGCATCTCATAAAATGCATCAGCTCACTAGTTCATGGAATATTACTGTTTTTATCCAATAGAATTTTGGAAATATCTTTTATAGTTTCTGTGTATTTTATTTTTTAAACATTAAGAAATCTATTTGACAGGCAAAGAGAGAGAAAGAGCGAGAAAGCATACGAAACAGAGTGCATATATCAGAGAGAGAGAGAGAGAGAGAGAGAGAGAGAAGCCATGAGAGAGAGCAGGCTCTCTCCTGTTGGTTCACGCCCCAAATTCCTATATTTGCAAGGTTTGGACTGGGCTGAAGCTAAGAGCCAGTAATTCCATCCAGATCTCCCACATGGAACCCAATTACCTGAACTATCCCTGCTGCCTCCTAGCATACGCATCAGCAGGAAACAGGGGTCAGGAGACAGAGCAGGGGACCAAGCCCAGGCACTTGATGTGGAATATGAGTCTAGTAGTTGCTAGGTCACGCGCCCACTCTTGGAAGTATCTTTAACATACAGGTTGTTTTTTTAGTTCATGTTTTCTAAATAAGCTATTGAAGTAGATGCGTAATTTGAAAAGGTTGAAAGCACTTCAACAAATAGGAGGAATCTTCAAAAGTTCATGAAAAATGCATATTATGAAAAATATGGATTTAAGACTTTCTATTCAAATCAAGTTTATATTCTAATTCCACTTTTCCACATACTTTTTGAAGGATTCTCAAACACTCATCTCAGTTTCTCCTGAGATATATTTAAATTAAGAAGGAAAAGTTTTTGATAACAAGAAAATCCCTTTAAAAAGGTCTCAGAATTGCATCTGGTAATTTCTTAACTATTATATGCACAGGACTGCCAAGAGGAAAGGCAGAGTCACTGCAGGTGCTGCTCTTGTACCTCCATCTTCACTTTGTTGTCGCCGAAGCACAGGTGCTGCAGGTAGGCTGCTGCGTTGGCCTGGACAGACGGGAACTGGTGCTGCAGCATGTGAATGACCTCAGGCAACTCAGGGTCACGCCAGGCGAACTCCCTGCATGAGCAAAACAGGCTTCAGGAGGACGGCCCATGATGTAATAATACACTGAACAAAACCTTTGCTATCGAAGTAAACAAGCTTGGCTGAGACAAAGCCTGGAAGTTACCAAAAAAAAATCCTAAAATACAGAGGCAAGTTTTCTTCCCATGAACACAGGCAGGGTCCCAGATGCTTGTGAGCTTGAAGACATCATGATGCCCAGATGCATGGGGAACAAAGAGAATTCTCAATATGAGTAAGTTGTCTACTCCAGTGCTCTTCCTCCTGATTCCAATTTTACATCATTCTACCTATGGAAGCAATCAGCACAGGTAAATAATGCACTTCAGCTAAGTGAGATGTCACTCATGAGGAGAGAGGAGGGGCTGGTGGGAACGGGCAGAGCTGGCGTTAGTCTAGAAATCACCAGTGCTATGAGCCCAGTGATTTTTAGGAAACTCATTATGTATGGTTGCTCTTAATTATAAGAGAGGCAGAAAAAAGATAAAAAAGAAAAAAGTATTTTAAAAGTAATCCTATATCCAGGGACATCATTCTAGGTACTTCATATGTGTAGAATCGCTTATTCTTATGGCAACCTCACAGATTTGGAAGCTGAGGCAAAAAGGCTACGGACACATGGGCAGTAAACAGTAGAGCAACATCTGGACTCAGGCAGCCTGCCTGTGGAGTCTTCACCCTCAATCACAGTGCTAAGCCACACGAGCTTGCTATGGACACACACTTGGCTTTTTTTCAGCTAACATCCAACCTAGAATCTTCCAATGTCATTTGATGGTTGAGTATCCTAGTTAAACATGAATTTATGTTTATATTATGTGAAGACCAGGAACGTAGAAAATAGTGCACAGAACAACAAATATGCAGACTCTGATTATGGGATGGAAGCAGTTAATCAAAATTGAATCAATACCCAATTAACCTTTAAATATTATTTTTAATAATTAGCCACCAACCAATACTTCTCCTACATTTTTAAAGCTCCAGTGTTCCATTTGACCTAGGAAGTCTTCATGGATAAACTTGACTGGTATACTGCAAAGAGGTAGGTTTTCACAAGCCTACACACACACACACACACACACACGCCAGGGTACCTCCTAATGTCCACGGGAAATGTAGTTAAAAGGTAAGTTTATTTTGCTGTAAAATTTTTTTTTTGCAATTTTGGATTGTTTTTTGTAATAGGCATTTTCTGTGAACTCTTTGAATACCCCTTGTACTAACCACCCAAACAAAATATTTAGTGAATTCATTTTATGCTACAGGTGTCACATTAGGTGTTAGAGATACAAATATTGGATAATACATGAATTTTTCTACAGGTTCTTACATGCCAAACTAAAAAGTATAATCTTAATGGTAATCACAGGAATTCTCATTTACTAAGTTTCCTTGCATCAGGCATTGTGTCAAGAGCTCTGTACTCACTATCTCATCATCCTTCCCATTGTCCCCAAGAAGTAAGCACTAGTAACTAATGTTAGCAGATAAGGAACTCAGGAGTAGTAATTAAGTGGGGCAGGTTAGTGAAATCCAGGTGCTCTACATGCGTCTCTACATGAAAGGAACAGAAGGCTAATGGAGCTTTTCACGCAGGAGCATGAGAAAACGTGACATGGTCACACTTACATGGAAGAGAACTCTACTGGCCAAGTACAGAAGGTACCAGAATTAGACAAGACGGGAGGCAAGGAGACTATTCACTATCCACACAGGAATCCACACTTGCTCAAAACAAAATATAGCCATTTTTGATTTCTCTCTTCCCTTATCTTCTTCAAATAATTCATCAGTAAGCTCTATTGACTAGTTCCAAAATACTTCACATAAACCAAGTCCATTCTTCTCTCCATCTTGCCTGGACCACTTTAATAGTCTCCTACCAGTTCTCTATGCATCAAATATCACCCCTTGCCCACCCACAATCTATTCTTTGCATAGCAGCCAGATGATCTAAAACTGCAGTCAGGGATGAAATGGAGATTTCTGGCAGACTGGGGAACAGGCTGGATGATAACATCATTACACAGACATTAAGAACACAGCAAATGCTAAGAGAGGCAGATAACAGCACAAACAGCACAGAATTTGAGGTTGAATGCCTGGATTCTAGGTCTTTGGTCCTTCAGTTACTGTGATTTTGAAAACACATTAATTATTTGGAGCTTCAGTTTCCCCATCAGTAAAACAGGAACAGTGGAACTATTTTTCCTTTCTTATAGGTTGGCTGTGATGATGTGCTTGCAAACATGATACAGGTATTTATTAATATCATCATGCCTGTAAAATGAGTTGTTCTAAATAGGGGGATTTTCTGCAACAGTTTTCCTTTCCTTTCCTTTTATCTTATTAACTACATCTAAAGCCGATTATGTATATCCATGCTATATTGTCAGAGTGCATAGAATGTGGTTTAATATTTTATTGAGGGCTTACAATCATTACAAAAAACATTTGTACCACTTTAAATGGCACAGTGATGGTCGGGTAACACCAAGGGTATGCTGGAGCTGGAGCCAGGCAATTAGGCTTGGTTGGCTTGAACCCCAATCTTGATTTAAATTCAGCAGAAATTTACATTGGAATAACTGCTATCAATTTGTGTGCTGAATGGCATCGATTGCCTGCCAGGATTTGCTTCATGAAAACCTAAGCTCAGGCTTCTGCTTTCAGCCGTGATGGAGAAACTGGTGCCCTCCCACATAAACTACAAAAGTGAGCTAAAGGCCTGTGGAAACTGTTTCTAGGCCTGGACAATAGGCAATTCAAGAGCGTAATCCCTGAGATGAAGGAAATCCCCAAGGAGTCCTACATCTACCTGGCTTGCTGCCTAGGACTTTTCTGGAACACAATGCAGGGAGCTTGGCTCAAGTTATGTGGAGTAGACTTAGTGAGGTGAGGGGAGAGACTGGGATCAGGGAGTGTGAAAGTAGTTAGAATGTGCAGGGCAAGGAACTGGAAAGGAGGAGCTAGATGAGTCTGTGTGCGAGTCACTCGTAAGTCTTAAGTAGAGCACTGGGCTGTGCAGGTGCAAGGCACACGTGCAGGTCTGGTGGAGGGAAGCTGCTACCCCACCCAGAGCCCAGAAACCAGGTGATGTTGGATTCTTGCCTGGTCAGAGGGAAGAACTTGCTGAGCACGCTAGGAATTGAGGCAAGACTGCACAAAAGCTGTGTCTTAGGAGTAAGGACCAGACATAGAACAAATCAAGTCATAAGGCTAAAACAAACTGGAGAGAGACCTACCAAAGAATAAAAGCCATCTTTGACAGGATCAAAAGGCTCTGCCAGTAACTTAAGTTACCTGCAGTATCCTAAAGGGAGACAACCTAATCTAGATCCTTACGTATCATCCACAATAGTCAACATACAATTTAAAATTAGGGGCCTGCGCTGTGGCGTAGTGGGTAAAGCTGCCACCTGCAGTGCTGGCATCCCATATGGGCGCCAGTTCGAGACCCGGCTGCTCCACTTCCAATCCAGCTCTCTGCTATGGCCTGGGAAAGCAGTGGAAGATGGCCCAAGTCCTTCGTCCCCTGCTCTTGCATGGGAGACCTGGAAGAAGCTCCTGGCTCCTGGCTTCAGATTGGCGCAGCTCCGGCCATTGCAGTCATCTGGGGAGTGAACCAGCAGATGGAAGACCTCTCTCTCTCTGCCTCTCCTCTCTCCGTGTAACTCTGACTTCCAAATAAATAAATAAATCTTAAATTTAAATTACTAGACATGCAAAAAAATCAAAGATAGAAAATATAGCAACAGAAACAGATCCAGAGACAACTCTGGAGATGGAATCCTTAGAGGAGGAATTTAAAATGGTTATTATAAATGTTTTCAAAGACTTAAAGAAAAAGATGCAATAAGGAATGAATAGATGGGCAAATCTCATCAGAGACATGGAAACTATAAAAGTGGAACCAAATTGAAGTATTTAAAATGAAAAAAAAAATCACTGGATGGGCTAATGACAGACTGGAGGCTGCAGAAGAACATGAAATTTGAAAATGGATCAATAAAAAATAAGCAACTGGGAGAACACAGAGAAAAAAGATTTAAAAACAGTGAACAGAGCTTCAGCAATCTATGAAGTCAGAAGTTACTCTAAATTGCGTAATTTGAATTATAGAAGAAAAGAAGTTTGGGGCATGAAAAAATTTAAATAGTGGCTGGACATTTTCCAGTCTGGGTAAAAACCTCAATCTACATTCCATGAATCTCAGTGAACTCCAAACAGGTTAAATGCAAAGAATACTATACTTGGGTCCACCAAAGTAAAACTGCTGAAAGCTAAAGAGAAAAATCTGAAAAGTAGTCAGAGAGAAGACAGATAATATAATGAGAAGAATGATACAAGTGATGTCTGACTGCCTGTCAGAAACAGGTAGTCGGACAATAATGAATGGCAGCTCCAGAGTGCTGAAAGAAAAGGAAAATCCACACACCTGCAAATCCTGAATGTTGTATCTGGCAAAAAAAATAAAAGTACCCTTTAAAAGTGAGTGAAATAAAAAATTTTCAGATAAATGAAAGCTGAGGATTTTTTTGCAAGAAATACGAGAATGTTAAAGGAAGTTGTTCTTTAGGCAAAGGGAGATGAGCTGAGACGGAAACTTGAATGTATTGGTAGAATAGAACTATAATGGTAAACATGTGGGCAACTATAAAGGATTAACATTTTTTACTTCTCAATTTCCTTAAAAGAAAACTGACCATTTGCAATAAAATAATACTATATTAAGAGTTTTATAAAATATGTAGGAATAAAGCAATTGGTATCATAAAAGTCAAGGGGATGTAAACAGGATTATTCTGTCGAATTCCACAAATGAGGCTCTGCTCACAAGAAACACCAAGCATGTTGTCACACTTTAAGTCACCGTCATTTTCCACAGAAAGTGCTTTTATGTTACATACCTTTGAAAAGCATCATTTGTGCTATTAATAAGTTTGGCTTCCAAGTAGACAACTCCAAAATGACCTAAATTTCTTTTATATAATAACTTCTCAGGCTATTATGTAGAACTAATAATAAAGGCTTACAAGTAAATAAAATACTAATATTTTCAAGTTGTTCTTTTTAAAATTGAAAATCAAATGAGAGTTGTTATGACCTTTCATTCGGGCTTGAATATTCAAACTTCAAATTTACTTGAACTGCAATTTCAGCCAGAATAAATGCACCTGTTATTATAAGATAATCATTTATTCATCTTATGAAATGCATTATTAGTAAAGTTTCACATAATCAGAGCTCGCCATAATAGTTTTATGCATTAGACTATGAAATTATCATACTATGAATAGCTGAAGTATATTAACATACACGGAATCCTTGTTTATAGTGAATCAACTCATATTAGAGGTCAAAACTAATGTCATCAAGGGCACATATTAAACTCAGAACTCTAATCATACTTCACTGCTTTCCTGGTAGCTATTCTTTTCTCTGCAAGTTCATCCACGGTATGGTCTAAATTACCCATAGTTCAAACTCCTTTTGGCAACTTCTGCATCTATGAGTGCCCAGTCTTTTTTTTTTTCTCACATGTTTTGTTGTTACTTTGAGAATTAAGAAAGTGAAATAATGTAAGGCATTTTGGACAACTATATTGGAGATGCTATTAAACAAATAAAATTTTTAAAAATCCTGAAGATGATAAAAAACAAAGAAGGACTAGAAGCCAATGTATGTAAAGGCTTAAAGAATTTTAGGGATAAAAGGGAATAAGGTAAAGTGATTTTTAGTGAAGCAGTGGGCTTCCCATTCAACTCTAAAATACCTTGAGTTATTTTGTTTCAATGACCAACACCTCTGGCCGGCGCCACGGCTCACTAGGCTAATCCTCCGCCTTGTGGCGCCGGCACACCGGGTTCTAGTCAGGGCACTGGATTCTGTCCCGGTTGCCCCTCTTCCAGGCCAGCTCTATTCTGTGGCCAGGGAGTGCAGTGGAGGATGGCCCAAGTCCTTGGGCCCTGCACCCCATGGGAGACCAGGAGAAGCACCTGGCTCCTGCCATCGGATCAGCGCGGTGCGCCGGCCACAGCGCGCCGGCAGTGGTGGCCATTGGAGGGTGAACCAACAGCAAAGGAAGACCTTTCTCTCTGTCTCTCTCTCTCACTGTCTGCCTGTCAAAAAAAAAAAAAAAAAAAAAAAAAAGACCAACACCTCACCCATCAGTTTCATTCACTTACATTAGAATAAGTTGGTAGATAATAATTGTTGCTAAAAATGAATCAATACTTTTAAGAATTTTCCAGTGAAACAACTATTTGTGGGAGAAAAGTGAATGAAATCCTGCTAACACATGCCTTAAAATAGCACTGTAGCTGCTTAAAATTTAGTGACAATTTCACTTTCAGAAATGAAAATCCTTCTAGTTTCAAAATATCTTTAGTTATTTCCTGAATATTTTAAGTGATTTTCATTAAAGATGAAGCCAAGTTTTCAAAATTGATCAAGCACTGATACTTAATAAAAATTGCTACCTGCATGACCAAACAAATTAAAAAGGAAAAAATCATCTATTATTTGCCAAATATTTTTTACTTTTGAGAAATGAGAATTTCTTGTAAACTATTTTCCTCCTAAATGGCAGATAGCTTTTCAAAGGAGTTTTAAAAACTCTACTTAGGGGCCAGCACTGTGGTGTATCGGGTAAAGCTGCCGCCTGCAGTGCTGGCATTCCATCTGGGCGCTGGTTCAAGACTCGGCTGTTCCACCTGCAATCCAGCTCTGGCTTGGGAAAGCAGAAGATGGCCCAAGTACTGGGGCTCCTGCACTCACATGGGAGGCCTAGAGGAAGCTCCTGGCTCCTGGCTTCAGATGGGCGTAGCTCCAGCCCTTGTGGCCATTTGGGGAGTGAACCAGTGGACGGAAGACTTCTCTCTCTCTGCATTTGCCTCTGCCTCTCTGAAACTCTTCCTTTCAAATAAATACATAAATCTTAAAAAACAAAACAAAAAACTCTACTTAGCATTGATCATCATGCAAAATGTAGAGAACACTGGTCTCCCCAAGAGCAAAACAATCGTATTCATTTTCTGAAGTCCTCATCCAGGGGTCATGACAAGGGACAAGAGGTAAAAGGATCCAGGAAAGTCTGTTGTTTAACTCTAAGAGGCTCTCCCAGGTGGTTGCCTTGGTTAAGTGTTTCAGTGATGAATACTGCAGACATTCCTCCAGATCTGTGCATTTTCTAACTTATTAAGAATAAAAAGAAGGAATCTCTCTTTAAAATGAAATTAGACTCAAGGATCTATATAAATAGAATACAATTGGCAGTATTAGAGATAAGGAATTACTGATTTATAACAGACTTAGCAACTTGAAGTTAGAATGCAGGAGCTGGCTGGTTCCTGCGACATGGGAGTACTCTGGGGACTCCTAACCAGTACTCGCCTGGGGTCTTTCTGAATGCTGTCTATTGATGGGGATCTGGTGGTGCCATCGTCACCCGGTGCTGCGTGCTGGAGCCTGTTATAATTGCACTCTTGTACTCGGTACTGGATCGGCCTGTAGGGCTCCGCATAGGTAGCTGTTGTGTTCAGAGCATAATTATTTCTTTGGTATGTAAGGGTACTTCGTTGGCTGGATGTCCTTTGTAGATTTCCAACACCTACTAGAAAGTCAACATTTTGAAAAAAATGAGTATGTTCTCCCTGAGATCATACTTTTCAAAAGTAAAACATTTTTAACTTTAAGAAGTTAGGCAATTTTAGATGTCAATTTTATTAGCAGGAAATAACAAAACTGAAACTATAAATATGCTTATATAGTAGGCCTTATAAGTTTACTATAATGCAGTAATTTAAAAATTCCAAGAGAAATAAGAATTGAGCTAACCTTAGAAACAAATAATAGCACAATTTCATAATTTCATTTTACTGATAAAAAACAAGGTAACCACTCAAATTTGTAAATAATTGAAACCATCAAACTTCTTAACACATAAATATACATGTTACCTTGTTTTGATACACATTTTATTTCTACGCCTGAGGATCTTGATAACATTGGAAAACATACTTCCCAAGAGGGAAAGAAGATTGATAAATCAAATTATTCAATAGCTATTCCCATAGGTTATTGCATGATGCTATGTGTAAAGGCACTATACGCTGTATTAAGTATTTCTTTCATAATTACTTCAGCAGATGGCTCTCTACATATTCTTTCTGCAATCAAAAATTTCAACATTCTTTATTTCTTCCCCCTATTCAAGAAATTATTTATAGGACATAAGAACCAGTGAATAACTTCTTCACTAAAATCTGCTGAAAACTGGAGCACAGTGCCTCAGTGGACTAAACTGTCAGTTTCCAGCAAAGAACCAATTCAAATTCTTCTCCCCCTGCTGTTCCAGGAGGCACAGCTCCTACAGTTGTGCCTCTTACAGGTCATCACTGCTACTTGAACTTCATTTGTGTGCATGGTAATAAATCTGTAATGCTTTTATTTAAAAAACCAAAGCCAACACTAGAGACTCCATGGGCCAGCCTGGCAGTGCAATCTGGCCGCTCACACTGCCTACAGCATCTGCTTTATCATCCATCACAGTGCGGCATGAAGAGGAGGGCTGGGACGCAAGGGAGTGAATGCTGCAGCCCACATTCTGAACCTAAGTGGTCAGAGGACATCCAACATCTAAAAAAGAGGACTGACACTCCAGACGTGTGATATCAAAGATAGCAAGGCCACTAATGCATGGATTTTCTCCAAATTGTTGTTCTGGGCATCAAAATGATGAAGCAATTTTCAAACAAAGGTTTTCTTTCTATACCTGATTTGCTTCTAACCCAAAGAGTCTCAGATTTATAACTTTACAATTTTGTTCCCAAATTAACAGTACAATCACTATGTTCACCGACTGGGATTGTACCTAGGTAAAAATATATCACCTACAAACAGGTATTAAATGAACTTCTCATTTACTGTTTACTGATCTGCTGTTACAGCTGCTTACATGACTTCCTCGGCACAGGGAACGCAATCTCAATCAAGTCCTTCTACTGTTGGGTTCATGAAATCGGGAAAGCAGCTGCACACAGCTGCCGCCCACCTGAGCCTGTGCGGAACAGCGCCGTCTGGGACCCCTGGAGCTCCACAGTTCCGTGGTTTGGGCTGCGGTACACTGGGCTGTAATAGGTCCTCCCCTCGTATATAGGGGTGATGTGCAAGTCCGGAGACACAGCTGAACGAAGGTCTGGACCAAGCTGACTGTGTTGACTAGCGTAGGAACTCCGCAAGCCTGGAGGCAGGAAAATCCCATCAGTAAGTACTGGGAAAATCACCCTGAGGGGAACCATAAACCCAACCACAAGTCTCACCTAGAGGACCAAGTGTGCAATCTAAACACCTAGACTGGCTGATTTCACACAGGAAACATGCTGGGTTGAAAAGGACTCTGAACACATTCCTCAAATCAAACCTTCTAGGAAGCACATGCCAGCAGCGCTTCACCTCACACTCCTCTCCAGGCCTGAAGCCCCCTCCGCCCCTCCCAACTCCCAAGTGGGCATCCAGCTCTGTGGGGCTGGCTCACCCCGTCTCACAGTGTTCAGTCCCAGTGCCTAGGATGAAGCCTATGCAACGTACTAAGGAAGAACTGTTTCTAAAATGTCTCTCTGCTGATTCACATCTTAGTTTTTGAGGACAACACTAGAAGTTTTGTGCTCCAAAGTTGTATATATTATCAGTAAACTGCTAAAATTCATCAAGCATTATGAAATACTATTTTATTCTTTGACATCGTCGTATTTTTCCTTTCTTTTAAGAAAACAAAAACCACGTTTATAGGTATGCACATACCAGACTCTTGGTTACCTTCTTTCTAGTATGAAGGAGAAGTCCCAAGTTAGTACTACATTGACATTAAGACAATTAAAATAGTTTCATTCAAATTGCTAATAAGTTTGCACATGCAACTAACAATAAAAAGATGTCAAAGAGTTCTTTTCTTTGGAAAATTGAATTAGTACATTCTGTATTATGATTCTCAGAAGTCTGCGATTTGTCTTCATTAGTAAGAAAAAATTGGTCACCGACTACAGTTACATTCCAAATACAAGCAAGTGAAAGCTTAAACATATCTGAATTCAGCTGGCATATATCTGTTTTTTAAAAAGTTGCAAATTATTAACACAGTAAATAATTATAAAAGCATAGATTGTTCCCATCGTGTTAGCTGTTAATCAAATAACAATTAAAAGCAGATGGGCCTGAATACGAGTGATAATTATATGTTGTTTAGTAAGGAGGGATGAGAAAGTTAATAAACACAGAAAGCTTTGAAAGAGAATGATTCCCGCCTACCCTGGACAGCAATGCGACAAGGGGAGAAACTAAATAAACCTATCAATACCAGCCTGCAGCTGCTGGCTCCCCAGTTGCTAAAATGGAGATAGGGGGTTTCCACAATTTTATAACTGGAAGACTGGCCAAATCTTATTTCAAAACCTAGGAAACTAAGAGGCCAAAAGGATGTGTAATTCCCCTCCACAGAGAGCTACTAGGTCCTCGTGGGGCTGAGAGCAATCCACAGGTCAGTATGTCATTATACCTCATAATGGATGTGGTGGGGTCTCAAGGATCAAGGTGTGGGCAACCTTGACCTCCCCAGGACCTTCCACAAACATGAGCTTAAGAGGGAGTTTAGCCCACCAGGGAGGGCTGTGTGGATGCCAATTTGATGCTGAAGATGTGATGATGACCGTTATCAAACAATTCTATGGATGATTGCAGCTCTTCATTCCCTGGCAGATTTCTTCTTACTAGCAGAGTATAAGCCTTTTCCTTTATGGAACTCAGGAGTACTTTTGTTTTTCTTATTAATTGTGACATACAGTGGGTGCGTGGTGAATCAACCTCGTCTTTGGGAATCTCTTCAAAATGAGGTGCCGGCCGGCGCTGTGGCTCACTTGGTTAATCCTCCACCTGCGGCGCTGGCATCCCATATGGGCGCCGGGTTCTAGTCCCGGTTGCCCCTCTTCCAGTCCAGCTCTCTGCTGTGGCCCGGGAGGACAGTGGAAGATGGCCCAAGTGCTTGGGCCCCTGCACCCGAATGGGAAACCAGGAAGAAGCACCGGCTCCTGGCTTCGGATCGGTGCAGCGCCAGCCGCAGTGGCCATTTGGGGAGTGAACCAACGGAAGGAAGACCTCTCTCTCTCTCTCTCTCTCTCTCTCACTGTCTATGACTCTACCTGTCAAATAAAAATAAAATAAAGAAACAAACAAACAAACAAAAAAAAAAACAAAATGAGGTGCCATTGCCCTGCTCCCCAGCCCACAGACACCATGACTTCACTGGGACACTCTGAAGGTCACTCACACTCAGGCAGGGGCTGGCTGAGGACGGCATGGTTCTGAAGTTCACCAGGCCCCATGCTCCCACCAGCCACTGCGACTTGAACTGACAGCAAAGCATCCTGCTCCACTATCAGAATGCTACAGACCTGGCTGGCTTCTTAACTGGAATCCATGCAAACTGAAAACTTTTGTAGGAATTTACTGTAACTGCACGGGAATGGTAGGAAAATGAGCTCCAAGCCATTTAAAACTATAAAAAGTAACCAGCAGGCATTCACTTGTTGCAGGCTTATTTGTAAAATTAAATATTAAATGAGACAGGCTGTAACGGGAAAAGGTATAGAGTTGGTAGTGAGATGTAGCACTTTGTTAATATTAAAAATTGTTTTGAAAACAATGTCTGCTACTGTTTTTGTTAACATGTTCATGCCTTAAGCGCACACACACACACAGTTTTGTAGATCAGCATCTAAAAAACTGCTTAGACCCAGGAGATTAAGTCCAATGAATATGTGTAGAAAGTCCACCATAACTTAGTATTACTGGAGGTAGACTACAGGTAATTATGTTCTATAATCAGCATTAGGAAATACAGATTAATTTTTAATAACCTCACTTGCTCTTACAAATAATGGAAAACCATGAGACTCCACAATATTATTTACCCAACCAATCATTTCTTTTTGCAATCTCACAAATACATACACATTAGATTATCAATACAGTGATATATATGATTCAAAACCTTTGTATCTAAGACATTAGAAATAACATAAATATATTTCAAACATCATATTTTTCTCCAAACTTTTCCTGACAAGTTATATTTGTACTGAAGTGAGTAGTTCAGAACATGTGTGTTTTTCTGTGGTAGGAAGTAAGTTCACACATGTATCATTTAAATGACAAGATCATCAAATGGTCTAGTCCCCAAAACTATTAAAAAATAGTGCTCTAAGCTTCAAACTTCTAAATTAAGAGTAACAGCAAATATGACAGGCACACCACTTTTAAAGTTAGAGTGAAAGAAAAGAATTCAGAAATTAGGATCCACATTCAACTCAAGTGGGTAGGAAGGTGACAGGAAACCAACTTCCCTAGTATGTTTTAAAGAAGAATGTAAAGTTTTAGGAAAAAAGCAATCAGATAGAGGCTAGGTTTCATATCCATCTTGCTCCTGTCCTGCCCTGAAACATAAATTCTTTTCACACCTGCACTGTCAGAGAAACAGTCCTTTTAAACCAGAGAAGCAGAGCCCTGTCAGGGTTAAACAGAGACGGTAATTCAAGTGCTGCCTCCTTCTTGGGCCCTCACTCCACTTCCTGCAGGTGGGAGGATTTTGCAGGGCTCTTCTACATGGTGGGGATGAAAGTGAAAAAATATGGAAGTCCACAGAACTGTTCATAGTCTGTTTCCTTGGGAGAGAGATCTTCATAAAGGATTCCTACTACATAGCTGCATACTTTTCAGGGGCATCCCAGAAACTACCTAAGCTGAGCACACTTCTCTGATGGCTGAATGAAAAAGAGGTGGCTTCTCCACTAAGAATTTCCTTGAGCTCAAATTTAAGTTTAATTTAATTAACCTTGCTGAAATATTCAATTAGACAAGACTCAAAGAGACTTCACTGAGGGCCAGCACTGTGGCGTAGTAGACTAAGCCTCCACCTGGGGTGCTGGGATCCCACATGGGTGCCGGTTCGTTTCTGCTTCCTGTCCCAGCTGCTCCTCTTCCCATCCAGCTCTCTGCTATGGCCTGGGAAAGCAGTTGAAGATGGCCCAAGTCCTTGGGTCCCTGCACCCACGTGGGAGACCTGGAAGAAGCTCCTGGCTCTTGGCTTAGCTCCGGCCTTTTGGGGAGCAAACCAGCAGATGGAAAACTCCTCTGTCTCTCCTTTCTGTAACTTTACTTCTCAAATCAATAAGTAAAATAAAATAAAAAACACTTTACCTTTCCTAGAAACTATGAATAGAATGCTAATTTTGCTCGACAGATATATTTTAAAGTTTTATAGATAAAACTCCCAAAACAAAAAGACAAGCGATAAATTGGGAAACAGCTGAGAAGTATATTACAAGGGGCAGATTTATGTCAAGTATGAAAAGTGTTTACAGATTATAAATTTAGACAAAAGAGTTCAACCTGTGGATTTAAGAAAGATGAAATGAATACATGAAATTTATTCCCTTTATATAAATTAAAGTTTGGGGCCAGTGCTATGGCATAGTGGGCTAAGACTCCTTCTGTGGCGCCAGCATCCTATATGGGTGCCGGTTCTAGACCCGGCTGATCCTCTTCCAATCCAGCTCTTTGCTATGGCTTGGGAAAACTGTCAAAGATGGTCCAAGTAGTTGGGCCCCTGCACTGGCCTGGAAGACCTGGAAGAAGCTCCTAGCTCTTGGCTTCGGATTGGCCTAGCTCTGACCTCCTGCCTCTCCCTCTCTCTCAAATAATAAAAAAAAAATCTTTAAAAAATAAATTAAAAAGTTTACTAATAAAAAGATGAATGAAGTGGCTGATAAACATGAATCTTCAATCTGAACATAATTCAGTGAAAGCCACTTAAAATAGCAAGGTAGAGTTTTTTACCTATCAGAATGACAAAAACAAAACAAATGGACAAAATGCAGTGCTAACCAAGTATTGGGAATAGGCACATTCCTAAACTATTGATAGAAGTATAAGTCCCTCTAGTTTAAGTGATCAGTATAAATTCATAATTGATCATAAAGATAGGATTAAGTGTCAAAGGGATCACACAAACAAGACCAGTGTCTGCTAATAATAACTGAGAATTAAAAAGGAGAACGATCCATAGCAGACTCATAGAATGGCAGATGCGCTAAACAGCACTCTGACCTCAGAATCAGCCCTTAAGGCATGCAGATCTGGCTAAAAAGCCCGAGTTTCTCAGGCATAGAAAGCCAAGACACTGTGGCAAAAAAATGACCTAAATCAAAGATCTCTGTGAGTGAGATCCCAGTGGAAAGAACAGGTCATCAAAGAAGGAGGTACTTTTCTCTGAGGGGAGGAGAGAACTTCCACTTTGATTATGGTCTTGTGTAAATAAGGTCAGAGTTTGTGAACACAAGAGGCTTCCATAGCCTTGGCAGCTCATGACAAGAGCCTTGGGTGATTACTGACATAATAAATAAGAGTGTCAATTGTTAAATCAACAATGGGAGTCAACGTGCACTTAATCCCCATGTAGGATTTCTGTCCTTAATGTGTTGTACTATGTGAATTAACAGTAAAACTAGTATTCAAACAGTACTTTATACTTTGTGTGTCTGTGTAGGTGAAAACTGTTGAAATCTTTACTTAGTATATACTAAGTTGATCTTCTGTATATAAAGATCATTAACACTGAATCTTAATGAAGAATGGGATGGGAGAGGGAGTAGGAGATGGGATGGCTTGCAGGCAGGAGGGAGGTTATGAGGGGTAAAACTGCTATAATCCAAAAGTTATACTTTTGAAATTTATATTTATTAAATAAAAGTTAAAAAAAAAGAAAAAAATTTAAGTCCCTGAAACCTTCTTGGAGGACAATGTGACATATATCTCTAAGTAAAGTTTTGTACATATTTTGATGCAGTACTTCAAGAAATAAATCCCTTAGTTATCACAGTGCTAAGTGAAATATTCAGGAAGAAGAACATATATTTCATCCTCTTTATTACCTAAAACGACAAACAAGCTAAATGTCCGTTATAGGGAAGTGACTAAATAAATTATAACACATCATAAAATGGCAGTCTCAGGCATCTAGTAAGAAATGAGGTAGAGTTCTTGGTCACATTAAGTGAAAAGAACCAGACAGTCAAGCTGTATATGACAGAAACTCATCAGAATAAAGGAAAACACAATGTATATGAGGGTATGTGAAAATGTTCATGGAAAACAGAAGGAAAAGATAAATTTTTTTGGTGCAAAAATTTTTTGAAATCCATGCATATGAGAAGTCTTCAAAAAGCCCACAGAGAATGCATATTATGAAGGACTCAAAAATTTTTGCATCCAAATCAACTTATCTATTAATGACATTTTCTGCAAACCTTTTAAGTATGCTTATATGTAAGTACATATGTGAGTACACATGGTGAAAAACATGCTGCGAAAGGGAGACTGGGATGCGCCTGGGGAAGGGTAACAGGAGCTTGGCTTTTCCTGCTCGTCACGTATTTTCCTGTACCGTTCTAATTCTTACCATTCTGTATATGTCACTTTTAAAATACAATTTGAAACACTAGTTAAGAACAAAATTCATTTTACTAAGAACAATAAAATTTTTACAGTCTGTGGGAAACTCTCCATGAAAAAAACCCTGACGCGAACAGCCGTAGGCACTAGGCATGTGGTGTCTTCCTGACCTAATCCGAGTGGCATTTAAAGGGGATTCCTAACAGTATTGTGTATTTACCACTGGGATGCCAAAATCAAAGTAGGGGGTAAACTTCATGTCCTAGTCTATACTTACCAAAGCATTGCTATAGGAAAAAAATTAAGTATGTTATGTTAAAAATATTCTGAAACCATCTTGAACATAACTTATGGGTAGATGTAGGGTAGGCCTGACTGGTGAAAAATCTTTCATTAAAAAAACAAATCAGAGGGTGAGCCTTTGGCCTTAGTGACTGAGATGCTCACATCCCATTCTGGAGTGTCCGGATGCGTGTCCTGGCTCAGTTCCAAACTCTAGGTTCCTGTTAACACACACTCTGGGAAGAAGCAGGTGACGGCTCAAATAGTTGAGTCTCTTCCACCCATACAGGAGATCCAGACTGAGCTCTTGGCTCCTGGCTTCGGCCTTAGCTGTGGTAGGCATTGGGGGCGTGAACCAATAGATGGGAGCTTTTCTTTCTCTGTCTGCCTCTCTTTCAGATAAATAAATAAGTGTATTTAAACAAAATCAAGAAACAGCTTGATTCGAATTCCAACCAATTCTTCTAAAATTCAAGAAAGTGCATTTTAATATTTTGAGGGGGAAACATTTAATTCAACTCAAATTCTGCTGATGCAAATGTATATAATTTCATGGATTCAGATTTATAGAGCTCAAAAGACAAACAAAACTGAAATTTACAGTGTAAGTCTTTCTTTTTCTTTTTCTTTTTTTTAAATATTTTATTTATTTATTTAAGAGGTAGAGTTACAGACAGTAAGAGGAAGAGACCGTCTTCCTTAGTTGCTTCACTCCCCAGTTGGTTGCAACGGCTGGAGCTGCGCCGATCTGAAGCCAGGAGCCAGGAGCCTCTTCTGGTCTCCCATGCGGGTGCAGGGGCCCAAGCACTTGGGCCATTCTCTACTGCTTTCCCCTGCCATAGCAGAGAGCTGAATCAGAAGAGGAGCAGCTGGGTCTTGAACAGGTGCCCATATGGGATGCCAATGCTGCCGGCAGAGGATTAACCTACTATGCCATGGCGCCGGCCCCTACAGTGTAAATCTTGAGATAAAAACAAGCTCTTTCCCATGCTATGCTTCTGTTTCAGCTATATTTCCCCAGATTTCCTCACTGGGCTAACTGGCGGGCCACCGCCTGGTACTCACCTGTCAGGCTGTCTGGCCGAGGTGGAACCATCCTCTCGTAAATGTCATACTGCTGCTGTCCGAATTGCTCCATGTCATGAACAGTCCTTTGCAGTGAAGGTCCCAGATGCTGTGGTACGGCAGTCATCCCTGAGCGTTTGGGGGACGATGACCCCACCTGGCCTTGGGATGGGGAAGCTACTCGAGTCTGTGCATCCGTGAGGGTCAGCGGGGACCCCACTCTGGTGGTGGTTTGGTACTGAGGGGTTGGTCCGTTGGGATTGGAGGTCTGCCGGGAGGTTACTGACCCAATCCGGCGCACGGCTGTTGGGGAGGCGGGTCTCTGTGAGTACGGAGAGGCTGCCCGCTGAGCGGGCAATGTGGTGGACGAGTATGCACTGGGGTTCAGAGGTCGGGAGTCCGTCACCGATGGAGAGCCAAATCCACTACCCAGAGAAGTTCTCAGTGACCCCCTTGAAGGAGACACGCCTGTGCTGATAACATAAGAAGGAGACTGCGCTCTAGATGGAACTGAACTAACTCTTCTCATGGCCCGATTGGCTACTGATGGCTGATGGAAGGGGGGAGAAAAGAGAATTGGGTTTATCCAGGGTTTTGTGTCCATTACAGAAAAAAATGCACATAGCTCACTACAGAATGCGAACTCACTGCTTATTTTAGTCATCTAAGTTTCTCTTCCTTTTCATGCCCTAGAGTTAGATCTTAATTTTTTCTCACAGTGCTCTTCTTGTAATGCATTTTTTTTTGGTCGTTTAGTCTGAACACTAAAATGAACCAGTAAAGACAACTGAATACATGTGATATTCCTTTTTATTTTTGTCTTTACATTTTTTACCTTCTACCTATGCCTTTTTCACAACATACACAATGTTTTATTACAAGTGTTACTAATAACTTATTTGTAAGGACCACAGGTGCAATGTACTTATTTCATTCCCTGTGAGCCAAAGGTAATGTATTTTTGTAAAACAGAAAGGATTAAAAAAATACATCAGTTTAAATGTAGCCACAGGAGAATTTATAATTGTCCAGTCTTTCTGGGTTGGCCTCATTAACAAAAGGAATGTGTTCTTTAAATGTGCAATAAGTGAACATTTGGGTAGAGTCTGGCTCCACTGCTCTTCCCTGTGAATTTACTTCAAGGGACAGCTTGGCTGCACAGGTGCTCTAGCCTAATTTGTTGTTCCTTTGGTTTAAGTGTAGCTTCTACTGATTTTAGCCATTTCTTTTTACCTTCTCTGATCTGTAGCACTTAGCATTAGCTGAGCAATTTTGAGGACATGTAAAGAAAGATTCCCCCAAATCTGTCCCAATAGGAGGAATGCTCAAGGTCTTGGCTGAGTTCCTGGCTCAGCAAGCTGGAAAAGACCTGAATAGGAATTGAATATTTCTGCCATGGCTGATTCTGATAAGAATCCATAGGCTGCTGCAAACATAGCAGGTGGCAGATGCCTTTCTTGATGCTGAACAACAATGAAGACGAACAGTATCTGGACCATATAAGTGGGTGAGGACATGTAGTGCGGGGGAAGAGGCATTGGGAAAAAGGAGAGCAGGATAAGAAATGGAAACTGACATAAGGGCTCCAGGTTACAGGCCCAGGACCAGGGTGCCCTGTTATCTCCTGATTGCTAGAGTCCATTTGCCATCAACCCCTTCCATTTTTAATTGTGACAATAAGGAAAGAAACAAGGATAAGAGATGGACTTTGTACACTCTTTGATGTCCTAAGAGCATATATGCTTTGCTGGCAGGTGACACAAGCAACTGAACTGGTTGAAACACCTGCTCTGACACCTCAAGTGTGCTCAAGTTCCACAACTGTGGGAAGACAATAGCCTTGAAGAAGCAAAGCTGAGGAGGCAAGAGGACAGTATGTAAATAAAGCAAGAATGATGATAAGTTAAAAAAGGCAAGAAAGATGAAACTTAAAATTTAATAAGCAGTTGGGAAGTTAATATGTGTGCTGGGGTAACAACAGTGCTAACAATAAGAAAAGACAATCTCACACGACTTGTAGCTATCAAAATGGAACAACATTTGACCTAGATAGCTAAACAATGTGTTGCCAAAACTACATACAAAATAAGTCTTAGAGACCCCTTTGCTACATAATTTCTCAGCTTCAGGAACAAAATCAATTTACTGCAAGTTAAAAAATAGGTAACATAATCACTGTGACATGGAAAAACGTAGTTGCTACAGTGAAGGTAATTGCTGACAAAAAGAATGACTTCAGATCTGCTGACACAGAAATTCACCTAAGTCGATGAACTCCCGTAGGCATTTAGTCCAAAGCGTCTCAAACTTTTCCACTAAAGAATCCTTAAAAGCAAAGGAATAAATGTGTATTTGAAGGACTGGGAGGGCAGCTTGGAGGAGCTTGCTCGATTTCCCATGTGCTATATTTGTGTTTGTTTTAATCCAAAAAGGTTTCTTAATGTTTCTCCTAAGTCACTGAGAAGAAGCACTGGGGACCCTGCCTCCTGCTGTGTGCACCTGCAGAGCTCCTGTACTGCATTATGGGGAGCACAGTGTTCACCTAATTTCTCTGATCATCTTGCCAGCTTTTGGCTCCATGTTACGGGGGTCAGGCAGAGAGTTGCTCTCACTGGTTACTACCACGCAAGACTTCTACTGCTTCTCCTAAGCCTGAATTATTCTTTCAGCTACTAAGTTAGAAAACTCTAATTTAATAAAGTGGACATGCCCCTTTAAAATGACTTTCTATAAGCAGGAATATATATAAAAAATATATATATACATATATATGTATATATATATATTTTACCAGTAAAAGAAATGTGCTTTTAGAGAACAATTCTAGTGGTGAAGGTAAAAATTTTTGGGTTAGAATGGGGGCTGTCCCATTGTATGCAGGGAAAAAGTGCTGTTTTCTATAGAATATTTTAGTTCCAGTTTTTTTTTAAAAGCTTATAACCCTTCAGGGACTAAAACATTCCATTCTCTTATTTTACTCTTCCCTTGGACTCTTCTCCTTATACCAAACTTGTTTCCAGAGTTACTCTATTGAGTCTTGAAATTAATCAAAATTCATTAATAGGAGTTAATTAATGGAAGGAAATATATATTTAGGTTTTATGCCTAAAACATACTTAACGTCATAATGCAAATAGTGTAAAATGACTTTGCTACTTTATTCATTTTATAAATTCAAAACTGACTTATCTTAATCAGGAATACCTGTAACAGATACTCAAATAGGAGGGTGTTTCTATATAAGGAGCTTGGCGTGTCTGCTTTACCTGAACCAGTGTTTGTCCTTCAGCTCTTGAATTCCTCACCAAATGGTTACTGGTTGATCCTATGAATGAATGCTGTTGTCTATTATCAGCCTTGCTCACGTTCTGGCTGTTGTGGAAACTCCCTGCTTCCTGGTATCCACTGTCGGAGTAAGAATTCATTTGTGTTGAACTTCTTGAGTTACCCAATGATCCTGCAGGAATGAAACCAGTAGGAAATATCTCTGTTATACACTGCTGATGCTCACTTTCAAAAAGAAAAATAGTAAAAGCAAACCCAATGCTTAAAAGATAATACAACAGACCCTCACTTTCATGGAGAGATGTCTGTTCTGGTGAATAAAGAGTCCCTTGCTCTGGCTCTGTCCTGATGAGATAGTTGTTGGGATGGACAGCGTCAGAAACTCTAGGTTTGCTTGCACCAGTATTTGGCACCTCTGTAAGAAGATTAAGATTAATCAGCTTAATCTATTGACAATATTATACAAAAACTTGCTTTAAAAGGTTAAGATATCTGTCACTAGCATCATGTAATTTACATGTTAAATCTATGTTAATGTACGGTTATATTTTCACATTAAACAGCACAGTGATTTTGACTTATATAAGTGAATGTGTTCGGGGCCAGTGCTGTGGCTCAGTGGGAAAAGCTGCCACATGCAGTGCTGACATCCCATATGGGTGCCGGTTCGAATCCTGGCTGCTCTACTTCTGATCCAGCTCTCTGCTAGGACCTGGGAAAGCAGTAGAAGGTGGCCTAAGTCTCTGGGCCCTTGCACTTGTATGGAACACCTGGAAGAAGCTCCTGGCTTCGGATGCGCACAGCTCCAGCTGTCACAGCCAATTGGGGAGTGAACCAGCAGATGGAAGACCTCTCTCTCTCTCTCTGCCTCTCCTTCTCTCTCTATGTAACTCTGACTTTCAAATAAATCTTTTTTTAAAAAAATAAGTGAATGTGTTCAATGTACTCAGAGTTCACTAACACACTTTGCCAATTTCCTAAGTATTTTTTGCCCTAATTTAACTTACACTCCTATTAAATCAAAATCTGAAAACTGATCTTGTTCCCTCTTGGGAAATTCACCTCTGTCCAAGATGTTAAATAAACCGAGTGAGAACAGTGACTGAATATTTTAAAAAAGGTCTTCCATATCCTAAACTTCTAAAATGAACACCTACACAGGATCCGCACTATTGAGCTTCTTGATGACACTTCTGAAAGTAAGGCCAACTTTTCCTGGCACTGGCAGCGCTCTCAGAGCTGCAAACAATGGGAACGTTACCTTCTCACCCGATGCTTATTTTATGCATTTCGTCTTTTCTAACCTGATGATCATTTCCTCTAGGCAAAGTTAACTCATTTTATTTTTAACTGTACCATTCAAAGTTGAAAAACAATCTCCAATTTATCTCTTTCCCCATACCAATTTGTTTTTCTAATGCTGTAAATTTTGATTGTGTAGATCATGCTGCCTTTCCCCAATTTCATCAAATAGGTTTTTCTTCTAGTGTCGATGAAATATATTTTCTCATGTTCTGACTACCTTCATGACAAGTCTCTCTCTTCAGTTTTAACTTTTATGTTGCTAACTTCTTCTCAGGAGTCCTGTGTGACTCTCACTTCAAAGACTTGAGGTGTGTATCACATTCTGAGTTCAACATAAAATGGCAAGGACTGCAAGGTCTTCACTAATCTTTCTTCCTTTCCCTCCCCCTCGTCCCATTTTCTCTCTCTCTCTCTCTCTCTTTTTTTTTTATTTGACAGAGTTAGAGAGTGAGAGAGAGAGACAGAGAGAAAGGTCTTCCCTCCGTTGGCTCACTCTCCAAATGGCTGCCACGGCCAGTGCTGCGCCGATCCGAAGCCAGAGGCCAGGAGCCTCCTCCTGGTCTCCCATGCAGGTGCAGGAGCCCAAGCACCTGGGCCATCCTCCACTGCCCTCCTGCGCCACAGCAGAGAGCTGGACTGGAAGAGGAGCAACCGGGAACAGAACCCAGTGCCCATATGGGATGCCGGCGCCGCAGGCGGAGGATTAACCAAGTGAGCCACGGCACTGGCCCCTGTTTTTGTTTCTTAAGACTGTATTACTTGCTGGGCTCTAAGAATGCCTTTCTAAGAAAAGATACAAGATACTCTCAAAAAAAGCTCACAGAAAATTCCAATTATGAAAAACCTATGCTGGATTTCAAAAAATTTTTTGACCAAAATAAGCATGTTCTTTTTAAAATTCTATGTAAGGTCTACAAGTTTCATGTATTTCACATATGCAGATTTAGGAACACAGTGATGTCTCCCACCCTACCCTCCGTCCTGCCCATGCTCCAACCCTTCTTCCTCCCCCTACTCTCCTATTCCCACTCTTAATTTTACAAAGATCTATTTTCAGTTAACTTTATGCTCATAAGATTAACCCTACACTAGATAAGGAGTTCAACAAATAGTAAAAACAAAAACAAAAACAAACCAAAACACTGTTCCTCAACAGTAGAAACAAGGGCTGTAAACCAATCAATGAATCTCAAAATGTCAATTTCACTCCTATAGATTACCTTTTAGAAACACTATTAGCTACCCCAGATAAGGGGAAAATATGATATCTGTCTTTTGGGGACTGACTTCTTTCACCAAGTATAATAGTTTCCAATTGTATCCATTTTGTTGCAAAAGAAAGCATTTCATTTTTTTTCTTTTTACAGTGAGTTCTCCATAGTGTAAAAGTATCATAATTTCTTTATCCAGTCATCAGTTGTTTCAATTCTATTTTCCACAAACTTTTACAAGCATTCTCAGATTGTGTGTGTGTGTATGTGTGTGTGTGGGTGTGTGTAGGTTCGCCTTCTGTTTGGCACTTACCACCACACTCTTTTTGACTAGAGTATAAGCTCAGAGAGGAGGGGCAGACTTCTGTCTGATTTGTTTTCTGTCACATCCTCACTGCCTAGGATGCTATTTGGTACATGCTCAGTACATATTTGTGGAAAAAACAAAGTCTCAGTAAGAACAGCAGCTTCCCTTTACTGGGTGCTGATTTGTGCCTGTCATGGTGTGGAGCTTTACCTTAATGTGTTCAACAAAATTTGGCTATGTAAAGCAAAGTCAAATTTTTATTCACTGCCATTCTGGCTGGCTTAGAAGATGAATATGAGGTTTGAGGGAGAACTGGGAAATCCTACTGCATTCTAAACCTTTATGTCAAATTCAATGCAATGTTTTGTTTCCTAGCCTCTAGAGAGATTCTCTGACATTCTTAGCCTGGGTTTTTAATGACATGTCTCCTGATAGATCATTTGACAGTACATGTGGTAGGTAGAGTTCTCTGACAGTTCTAAATTGTACGGTCTGGAATTTCAATGAAGATTACAGATTGCATACGGTTTCAGTGGTGTAGATGAAATATGATCTGAGTCAGTGTCAGGCTGACTATAGGGGAAAGTGATCTGCTTCATCTGTAAGTCTCCTGAGTTTCCAGAGTTCTGACCAGTCTTATCCAGCAATTCTTGAAGGCCTAGTAAAATACGAGGAGTGTGTGAGCTACAGGAGTTACACGGCACTGAAATGGCTGGTGATGGCTGCCCAGGAGCCGGCCTGAAATCACAGCTGTACAGTAGCCCCACTCTGGTCCACCCAACAGCAACAAACCACAGCAAGGGAAGCACCACTTTGGTAGCCTCAAGACTCTACATACATGGAAACACACATAATCTTCAAGAAAAAGGCACTTAGATGCTCTGAGTTTCAGTTTTAATAAAAGATAAAACTTGAGACACCAATATATGAAAGCTTTTGGCTTAGAAACACCAGGTGGCATGCAGTGTCAGGATCTGAAAAATTATCACTATGGAAACCAAAAGCCATTAGAGGTCTGTGTGTGCTGCTATTTTTACAAGAACTATTCAGAGCTATTATTTAAATAGGAACCAAGAAAGAGATACTGTACTTTGGCAAGTGTCCCTTTTTAGTCAATGTAAGTCTGTTATCACAAATCATGTGACAACAATTGTGCTCATTCAAATCCTTCTTTAAGAGAAGTTATTCAAAATAAATAACCTTAGAAAAAGTGCAAATTATGAGATGTGTGATTACATCCTGGTCACTCAAATAACAGCATTTAACAGACTTAGTATTTCAAAAATTATAGGAACAAAACATTACACTGAAAGCAATCTAACCACATTCCAGCTAAATGTCATTACCCAACTCTGTTTCTTTTAAATGCAATGCCCCAGGAAACAGAAGATAGAAAAGGACACTGAGATACTAACTAGAACACTAACATACCAAGTTCCCATATCCCCAGAAACCACTTTCAAGATCCAAGTAACTGGGTTTAGAGAACAGATAAGAGTTTTGTGCCGTTTTACTAAACATAGTAGAGTTGTGAAAAACTGATAAGAGGTTCATTTAAATCTTTTAAAGTTATTTTATTTGGAAGGTGGAGAGACAGAGATCTGTCTGGTTCACTCTCCCAATACCTGCAACAGCTGAGGCTGGGCCAGACTGATGCCAGTAGACACAGAACTCAATCTAGGTCTCTCAGGGACCCAACTGCTTGGGCCATCACATACTGCTCCCAGGGTAGGCATTATGAGTAAGCTAATCAAAAGTGGAGCTAGGAACCAAACCTGGGCACTCCAATATGGGATGAGGGTGTCCCAAGTAACAAGTGCTACATCAAATGCCTACTCCAAAAGAGTTGACACGAACTATAAAATAACCAATTTATATAGTATGGATATGGTCTTCACTAATTTTTTCTGTTTCTGGAACCTAATATCAATATGTACATTGAGACAAAATCTCCTATGAATCATTTAAAAAGTATAATGTGTTTCAAGATAGTTTTTCTATCATTTACTTTTTTTGAAGATTTGTAATTCACAAACTATATGTGCATATGTATGAAATAAGTATGCACAGCTACCATACCTCAGATAACAGAAGACCCATTTCCTATATACTGGATAAAGTAGGAATCTCTGAAATATGGTAAGGGTCACATTTATCAATTATGCATTAATTTATGCAGACATACTTTAAAATGAATATCTTCATAAAAATATTTTTATATGGAATGGAAGGAGACACCAGTCAAGTTTACCAGAGAAAACACAGAGGCCTATAGTGTGGGATCAACCATTTCATGATCAATGTTGTATCCTTACCATTAAATTGCTAAGATATTATGATTTAGCATGATTAGAACAGAAAAGAAACATTTTTATAAATAAAAAATGGCAAACAGCATGTGAATGCTACTCCTTTAATGTGTATAATGAACATGTGTTACTTAAAACAAAGTCACAAACATGTTTTCTGGGACACCAGAAATATTCTATGGGCATTTTCAAACATCAATTAGCATCTTCCGAGAAAATGCAAGTTAACATGAAATCTTCATCTATGTCTAACACTGAGTGATTACTGGAATCATGGTCCTGT